CACATCCGCACACACCCGCACACACATACACACACACACACGCGCACACAACACACATAACCCACACGCAACACACACAACGCACAGCACACACAACACACAACACACGAACAAGCAAGCAGACAAGCAAACAAACAACGTTATCCCAGTGCGACCCTACCTAGGAGTTGGAGCATTTCGGAAATGCAGTGTTATGTTAGGCTATGCTACTATGCTATGCTGCGCTATGTTATGCTATGCTATGCTGCGCTATGATATACTAGGCTATGATATGATATGCTGCGCTATGTTGTGATATGCTCGGTTATGCTGTGATATGATGTGCTGCGCTGTGCTATGCTATGCTATGCTATGTTATACTATGATATGCTATGTTATGCTATGCTGCGCTATGATGTGCTATGATGTGCTGTGCTATGCTATGCTGCGCTGTGCTATGCTAAGCAATGCTATGGTATGCGATGCTATACAATGCTGCGCTATGCTATGCTATGCTATGCTGATCTATGCTATACTATGCTATGCTATGGTATGCTATGCTGTGCTTGGCTATTCTATGCTAGGTTGTACTAATGCTGCGCTAAGCTAAGCTACGCTAAGGTAAGCTAAGCTATGCTAAGCTATGCTAAGCTAGGCGAGGCGAAGCTAAGTTAAGCGAAGCTCAGCCAAGCTAAGCTAAGCTAAGCTAAGCTAAGCTAAGCTAAGCAAGGCTAAGCTAATATGAGATAAGCTAAGATAATCGAAGCTAAGCTAAGCTAAGCTAAGCTAGGCTAGACAACGCTAAGCTAAGCTAGGCTAGACAACGCTAAGCTAAGCTAAACTAAGATGAGATAAGCTAAGCTAAGCTAAGCTAAGCTAAGCTAAGCTAAGCTGGGTGAACCCAGGGGGCGCAACTGGGGGAACCGCGGGGCGGATCCTGGGGGAACCGCCCGGGGCGAGGAACACTGCCCGGCCCCTTTCAGATAGAGAGTAAGAACCTTTTTAGGCAGAGCCTAGGTAGGGAACAAGACATAAACAAACAAACACAACAAATACACAAACAAACACACACACACACACACGCACGCTTTCCTTGGGCGGTTGCGGCCCTGCGCGCAGCGTCGAGGCGGAGTTAAGGGTGCAGTAGCGAGCGACCGCGCGGCAGGGCCGCCTGGCGGAGTCACCTTGGACCCCGCGCCAGACACGCGCACACACATACACACACACACACACACGCACACACACACACACACATACACGCATACACATTCACACACACTGTTCCCCCACCGGGGATGCGTCACCACAGTCGCGATTCACAACAACGGGGCCAAGTTGGTGCTGGTGGCGCCGAACGTCAGAGAACTGGACGAGAAGCCCCTTCCACGGCGTGCAGGCAGAAGCGCCACAGTGGTGGCGGCGAGCGCGCAGCAGAGTGGCCAAGGCGTATATGCAGCCGCAGGCGACGGGTGCGCCCCTGCAGTGGGGCGTGCAGGAAACGCGGGCGCGAGTCACAGACACACTTCCCTCCGCCGGCGTATCGGCGTTGCCGTCGCTAGAACCTGCATGGGACACTTACAGGCTAGGTTCACCCAGCCTTGTGGATGAAAGGACAGCGGCGAGCTCAGCTCGCCAGTTGCCAGGACTGCGTTGAGTCCTGGGTAGAAGAGGCGCATCCACTATGGAGCGCGCGCGTACAGCAAACACATGCACACACACATACACACACGTTCTGTTGACGAACGCAAGCGGGGCCCAGTGGCAGGGAGCAACGACACGACACGACGACGACCAAAGACGGCCGGGGTGGGGAGGGAGGGAAGCGCGCCGGCCTTCGCCCGGCGACGCCGCAAGGCGCAGGACGCGCCGCCTGACCCGGCCCCGGACCGCGGCCAAGTGCCGCACTGGAGGAGGGCGTGCACCTTCGCGCGCACCGCCTCGGCGGCTTCGGCGGGCTCCTCGGCGCCCTCGGCCCGTGCGTCCTCGACGGACTTGGCGGCCTTCGGCGGGGCTGCGAACCCTGCGGCTCCCTCGGTCAGCCCAGGGCGTCGCTTCCCTGGCCCGGGGCAGAGGCCGCCTGGTCCTGAGCCCGCGGCGGGGTCCCGACCGCAGGCGCCCGCTCCGGCGCTTGCTCGCGGCTCTCCGGCCCCGTCCCGCGGAGAAATTGGGGCCGGGGTGCCTCTCGGGTCAGCCGTTGCCGGCTGACCGGGCAGCCCAACCCACCCAAGCGCGTCGTTCTCGAGCTCGATGGGATGCTCGCCGGCATCTGGCGCGACAGCCTGGGGCCTTCCCGGAAGGGGAGGCCCGCGCGCACCGCGGCAGGTTAAGTCCCAGCAGCTCGCCCAGAGCGCCGCCACCACCGCCGCTGTGGGAGGCGCCGCCTGCGGCGGGCCTTTTCGCTGGCGGCGCGCCAGCGCCGTAGGCCGCTGCGGCGGCCTCGCCGCCGCCGCCGCCCTGCTCCTGGCGCTGCCGCCTCCTGCGGTGCTGCCATCGGAGCCGCTGCTCCCAGCGCTGCCGCCGCCGGCGGTGCAGCCGTCGGAGACCCCGCCCCCGGCGCTGCCGCAGGAACCCCCGCCCTTGGCGCTGCTGCCGCAGAGATGGAGCTGCCGTAGTCTGTTTCGCCGCAGCCTCCGCCAGGGGCCAGGGCGCTGCCCTCGCTGCCGGCGCTCCTGGCGTTGCTGCCTCTGCAGTCCGGGGGCGCGCGCCGCCCCCGGCGCCGCCGGCGCCGCGGGGGCGGGGGGGAGCGCGAGCAGCGTCCCTGCCGCTTTGGGAGATGCTGTCGCCCGTGCCGCCGCTCGCTCGCCCGCTTGGCCGCTCAGGAGCTGCTGCTGCTGCAGCTGCTGCTGCTGCTGCTGCTGCTGCTGCTGTTGCTGCTGCTGCTGCGCGGGCGCCGGCCCAGGTGGCGCGCTCGCGCCGCGTCGCCGTCCGCCTCGGGGCCGCGCGGGGCCGCCGGGGCCGCCGCCGCGGCAGGCCCCAGCGAGCCCGCCCTCGCCCAGGGAGTTGGTAGCGGCCCTGGCCAGCGGGCCCTACCCGCTCCAGGCGCGATTGGGGTAGCGAGGAGACCCCGCATCCAGCCATCGGGGAGCCAGGGCCTTGGGAGGCACAGCCACGTCTGCCCACCAGGTTGCCACGCGACGGCATGGCTGCCCCTCTGCATGCGCGCCCGGTCAGCGTATCGCCATCGCGCGCGGCACGCGCGCGCGACAACTATTGCGTGCCAAACCGCCGGGCCCGATACTCGAGCCCACGGTTTGAGCCAAAATGGCTTGAGCCAAAATCGCAACGGACGCACACACATACACACACGCGCACATACACACAAACGAGCACACACACAAACACATACACAGACACACACACACACACACACGCAGACACACACACAGACAGACACACACACACACGCATGCTCTTTCTGGCGACGCGGCCACGCGCGCAGGAGACGAAATCCAGCGGGGGGCGGCGGGGACATGCCGGCTTCATTCATAGGTGACCACGCGACATGATTCGCGAGAAAGAGAGTTGGAGCGGGGGCGAAAGAGGGAGGGGAAGGTGAAACGACCACAGGGGCGGGGAGGCCGATGGCCGATGGCCGATGACACACGCACACACAGTCACACACATCAAATGCAGTCGGCGGCTAACGTGGTACGAGGGCGGGCCATGTTCAAGGTGAGTTTTCAACCTCGCGTGGGAGCGGAGCCAGAATTATTGATTCCAGTGCAGTCGGCTTAATAGAGCGTTGGGCAGACACTACCCGTTGCAAGTGCAGGGTGAACAAGAAGTGATCGCAAACGAGAAAGCGCGCAGCCGCAGGCCGAGCCAGAGGGAGGCGGGGAGGTTGGACGGGAAGCTGAAATTGCGCCGAGATTTGCAGAGATTTCGGGTCGACAGCAGGGGCGAGAGTGCTTCGAAGGAGCTGGAGAGCACCAGAGACCACTAGGAAGCTAGAGCATATGAGAAGCGACACGCGCCAGCCGATTGGAATTGGGAGCCCACCCAGTGAAGGTGTGCCGAGCGGGCAGACGAGCCGACTCGGCACAAGTGCCCTGCATCGTCCTGGTGGCCTCCTAGGCCGTCTCGGGGCGCGTCTCGGGCCATTCTTGGGGCCATCACGCTCGTGAGCAAGCCAAGGCTGCCGGAAGCTCAAGAAGGCGAGAACGCGGACATCATGGAATCACATTTGGGGTATCAGTCATGTTGACCTATTCGGGAGCTGCTGTTGAGCACTGTTGGGCGTTTGAGGGCCTCTTGGGCCGGCCTAAGGCCATTTATGGCCGTCTTGGAGACATCCTGGAGAAATATTTGTGCGCCTTGGGCCATGTAGGATCATTATTGGCCTTCTTGGAGACCATCTCGGACACTATTGGAGGCCATATTGGCCTTCTTTGGACCATCTTGGGCTGAATATCCATTGAAATACCTATGTTTCGACGGGTTGGTGAGATGAGCTGGAAGCCATTGGGAACCCTTTGGCATGAATCAAACGGTTCACATTAGGCGCAAGCAACAGAGGTCGGGGGCGGATCGAAGACGCCTACGGCGAGTCACCGCCGCCTCCCCGCTTTTTAGGATACGCTTATGGCCAAACGTTTTGGCAAAGCTTGGCCGCGCTATTGGACCTTGCGCTCCCCCGACCATTGTGGAAGCCTTTCGAGGATCACGTGCGCGAGGAAGAGCTGGAGTAGGAGAGGGAAAAACAGGAGGATGAGGAGAAGGATGAGAAGGCAGGACGCGGATTTGGCGGGAACCCCAGGGCGACGGGCGACGTAAGAATACGAGTCACCGGGGGCGGGGAACGTGGGGACTCCGAGGAACGGGCGACATAAGAATACGAGCACCGGGGGCGGGGAACCCGGGGAACCCGAGGAATCTCGGAGCAACGGGCAAAGTAACAAGTACCTTTTAGGCAACCCGAATTGGGAAAAGGATAAGCAGCAGCAGGAGCAGCAGCAGGAGCGGCGCGGGCAGGAGGAGGAACGGGGCGCCCCCTCAGCGAGGCTGCGGAAGCGCTCGCCGCACGTGCTGCCCGACCCGCCCCGCCCCCCACTTGGGGGCAGCGCCGCCGCCCGAAGCGGCGCGCCGCCCGCACAGGGCCGACCTGCGGGCGCCCGACGGCGAGCGCAAGACGCCGCTGCACCGCGCCGTGCAGGGCATGCGGTCCACGGAGGCCGCCGCGGCCACCGACGGTCAGCATCGTCCACGTCGGCGTCGGCGGCGTCGGCGCTGGCGCGTCGGCGTCGGCGTCGGCGGCTTCTGCGTCGGCGCCGGCGTCGGCGTCATCGCCCTCGTCGGCGTCGGCGTCGTCGTCGTCGTCGACATCCTCCTCCTTCTCCTCCTCCCCATCCTCCCCCTCCTCCTCCCCCTCCTCTCCCTCCTCCTGCTCCTCCTCCTACTCCTCTTCTCGATAGGACGAGCAAGATGGAGGGAGGAGGAGGAGGAGGAGGAGGAGGAGGAGGAGGAGACGGATGCCGCGTCCCCCGGATACCGTTACCGTCGCCCCTTTTTCGCCTGTCTTGGCCTCCTGGGAGGCCCTCGTCGCCACCGCCAGATTCGCCTCGGAATTCTGGTCAGGACGCACCCTGGGAGAGGCCGGGGAGCAGCCGCGGCCGCCGACAGATCGTTCTTCAGAGGAGGAAGGGGTACCGTAATGGTTTGTTTTTCGCTCAGTCTTTTCCAAAGGGGCCAGTTGGTTTTGACGCCACCGCCAAAATACACGATGCGAGAAATAGGTGTTCGCTGGCGGCCGATTATTTCGCCAGCCCCTTGCCAAATCTGCATAGCGCACCGAGGGCACTAATCACTCATCAAAGGCCCCGTCGCCAAAACAAAAATCACCAGTTTCAAGAGCTCGCGTCTACGGTATTTGGAGGCGGCACCGTTGCCGATCAGTTTTCGGCAGTAAAGATTTTGACAGTACCGTCAGCCTTGCCTCGCTTTCTCATTTTTGTTGACTTCCTGGGAGGCCCTCGCCGCCACTACAGGATTAGCCTTGAAATCCTGGTTAGGACGCACCCCCGAGAGAGGTCCAGAGAGGCGCGGTAGCGGATCTGGCAATTTGTTCCCACCACCAATGGGCCATCGCATCTCAGCCCCACCAGCCCACCATGGGGATGAGGCCCGCGAGACCCGGAGGGAGCAGCCTAACCCCGTGCCTTGGAGCATCAAGCCTCCCTCTCACCCCGCCATTATCATGATCATCTCTGGCCAAAACGGTTTTGGTCGGCGGTGAGGGGCGACGGGGCCGAACTTTCTCATCGCCTGGGGAAGTACGCATCGTAGATCGAATATTCTTATCATGACTATGATGACCATCATCATCATCATCAGCAGCAGCAGCATCATCATCATCGTAAATTGTATCATCATCATCAGCAGCATCATCATCATCACCATTATCATGGCCATCATCATTGACATCATCATCGTCATCATCATTATCATCATCATCAGCATCATCATCATCGTCGTCGTAATCGTCATCGTCATCGTCATCATCAGCAGCATCATCACCATTATTATCATGCTCGCATGGTTCGTGGCCCTATAGGGAGCTCAGGTCCGTGCTCCTCCCCCCCGTGCTCCTGCTCCTGCTGCTGCCCCTCCTCCTCGACGCTCGCGACGACGCTGACGACGACGACGACGACGAGGAGGGGAAAGACGACGACGTGGACGAGGGGAAAGTCGACGACGGGGACGACGAGGGCGACGACGTCGTCGCCGGGTGGGCCGCTGGGCCCTGCAGGGCAGCCTGCGATCCTCCTCGATGCGATTCGATTCGCGGGCAGGGGCCACGATTCCCATTCGATGCGGTCTGGCCTTCTTCACCGGCGTCGGCCAGGGCCAGCTGGCAGCGGGGCGCGGCGATTCGATGCCGATCCGATTCGGGACGACTCGCCGGCGATTCGATTCGCTCTCGATCCGATCCAGTTTCGCGATCCGATGCAGCGCAGACCTGCCCCGTGCCCCGCCCGCTGCGCCCCGCGAGGCGGAGCCCCGGCGCGCGGAGGCCGTGGAGCTGCTCGTAGCGCAGGCGGGCGCCCCCTTCGCGGCGCAGGGCGGTGCCGCTGGCCGGTGCTCTCGGGCGGGCCCACTCCACGTTGGCTCCTCCTCCTCCTCCAGTTCCAGCTCCAGCTCCTCCTCCTCCTCCTCCTCCTCCTCCTCCTCCTCTGCCTCCTCCTCCCTCAATCGCCGCCCATTCATCGCCGATGCGGGCCCGCGTGGCCGGGAGGCAAAGGGTCAGATGAGGGAAAGATGCCAATAATTATAGAATTATCGCTTCTTGTCCTGGAGAGCCCTGGTCGCAACGGCCGGGTTCTCCTCGAGAAGTTTTGGACAGGATGCGCTCCAGGAGAGAGGCTCGGGGCTCTTCTGGTTCCCCCAGGGGGCGCCACGACCCAGCCCTCCCAAGTCGGTTCTTGCTTGTTTCCAAGGGTGTCCATGGCCCAAGGCGTTCCCAGGGTTTCAAGGGAGGCCCCAAGCCCCAACGGCCTCCAGAATACCCCGCACGAGGTCCGGAGTCCACAGGGCCCCATTGGTTCCAAAACGGTGCTAAATGTTGGGTTTCTCTTATGCCAGGACCACCTTTGGCAACTCCGACCGACCGTTGATGTGGTCGAGGGTGTGCTGCGTTTTGCGGGGTCCAGCGGGTGGACGACTGCACGAGCGCGCTCTATGAAGATTGCGCGCTCGTCGCAGTATTCCGAAAACGAAGGGGGAAGGAAGCCCTGGTGCAGGCCCGTGTGCTACGGTAGATTCATACGGCGTTGGCGCGCCGGCGACGCCGGCGAAGGCGTTCAAGGTCGAATTCTGCGACGTGGAAGATCCGACCGAATTTAATTTTGAACGATCGTGGCCGCAATCGACGCGGTGTCAATTACATCGTAGAAAAAGCGTAATCAGTGCATGTTTTAAAATTAGTGATATGGATATTGAGATCGATTATGTAATCGATAATCAGGACGACTGTAAGGTCGACCGCGAGACCGATAGCGAAGTCGATTCAATAAGATCGATAGTGAGATCGATCGTGAGATCGCTCGTGAGATCGATAATGAGATCGATTGTGAGATCGATGGTGAAATCGATTGTGAGATCGATAGTGAGATTATAGAGAAGTGGGTAATGAGATCGATGGTGAGACCGATCGATAAGAAGATCGACCGGGTACCCGCCGTCCACCGAAATCGGCCCGGATCCCGGAACCGGGAACCAGGGAACCCAGAACCGGGCACCCGGGAACCGCGGGCCGCTTGCCGAAATTTGCCCGGAGGTTGTGCACTGATTGGGAAAGGGGGAATATTCAAAAATAGTAATTATTCACTGCGTGGAGCTCCCCATATGTGCATCTACTCGCATGGACCTGTCCGCCGTGAATGTCTAGGCGCAAGAGCTTTCGAATATTAACGGGCTTCAGTTGTGACGGTCTGGACATCAATCTAACTGCGAATGAATTGGAGTGTGAATGAGCCTCAGTAGTACGAGCGCGTCTCTGTGCATGAGCCTGGGGCCTCCTGGGGCCTCCTGAAACCTACTGGGGCTTCCTGGGGTCTCCAGGAGCCTCTTGGGACCTCCTGGGACCTCCTAGGAAGGTTTCGTGCCCCAGGGGAGGCGCAATCTATAGCAACAGACGTACATAAAACATTGCGGATTAGAGCCACAGGAGAAGGGCAATCTATAGGAACACGCGTAAAACACCAAGGACTCGTGCCCCAGGAGAGGCCCAATACATAGGAACATGAGTAAAACATTTAGGATTGTGTACACAGGAGAAGGACCATCTATAGAAACATACGTAGAACATCAAAGAATCGTGCTCCAGGTGAGGCCCAATCGATAGGAGCATACGTAAAACACATGGGATTGGAGCCACTCCTGTTGCCTTCTGAGGCCTCCTGCTCCTGGGGCCTCTCGGGGCCTCCTGTTGCCTTCCGAGGCCTCCTGGCGCTTCCTGTTGCCTCCTGGGGCCTCCTGTGGTTTCCTGAAGCCTTCTGGAGCTTCCTGGGGCCTCCTGGAGCCTCTTGGGACATCCTGTAGCCTCTTGAGTCTTTCTGTGGCCTCCTGATGCCTCCTGGGACCTCATGTGGTCTCCTGGAGCCTCCTGGAGCCTGTTGGAGCCTCCTGTGGCATCCTGAGAAGAATCTGCGCCCACGAGCCTGGCCACCAAAACTAGCAAACCGATCGAGACATCCTCAAAATCTGGCCCACCTGGGGGGTGAAAATGAGCGCCCCGCTCGAGACATCCTCCAAATCTGCTCCGAAAGCGAAGGATGTTGGGCACAGAAACAAGCAAACCGCCTGAGACATCCCCACAAAATGGCCGCGAACGAGCCCGTGCAACCACCCCTGGCGGCCCCCCTTAGGGGTGCTGAAATGAGCGCCTCGCTCGAGACATCCTCCAAATCTGCTCCGAAAGCGAAGGATGTTGGGCACAGAAACAGGCAAACCGCCTGAGACATCCCCACAAAATGGCCGCGAACGAGCCCGTGCAACCACCCCTGGCGGCTCCCCTTAGGGGTGCTGAAATGAGCGCCTCGCTCGAGACATCCTCCAAATCTGCTCCGAAAGCGAAGGATGTTGGGCACAGAAACAGGCAAACCGCCTGAGACATCCCCACAAAATGGCCGCGAACGAGCCCGTGCAACCACCCCTGGCGGCTCCCCTTAGGGGTGCTGAAATGAGCGCCTCGCTCGAGACATCCTCCAAATCTGCTCCGAAAGCGAAGGATGTTGGGCACAGAAACAGGCAAACCGCCTGAGACATCCCCACAAAATGGCCGCGAACGAGCCCGTGCAACCACCCCTGGCGGCTCCCCTTAGGGGTGCTGAAATGAGCGCCTCGCTCGAGACATCCTCCAAATCTGCTCCGAAAGCGAAGGATGTTGGGCACAGAAACAGGCAAACCGCCTGAGACATCCCCACAAAATGGCCGCGAACGAGCCCGTGCAACCACCCCTGGCGGCTCCCCTTAGGGGTGCTGAGTATGAGTAAGTCTGTGTATGAGTAAGTCTGTGTATGTGTACGTCTGGGTATGACTAATACTGTGTATGAGTAAGTCTGTGTATGAGTAAGTCTGTATATGAGTATGTCTGAGTGTGAGTAAGTCTGAGTATGAGTAGGTCTGAGTATGAGTAAGTCTGAGTATGAGTAAGTCTGTGTATGAGCAAGTCTAAGTATGTCCGACAGGAGGGGAGGAGAAAAGAGGAGGAGAAAGGAGGAGGAGGAGTAGTAGGAGGAGTAGGAGGCGTCCAAGTAATAACAAGAACCCCATCTTAGGATATGGGGAAAAAACAAATCATGTGGGACGATTGTTCGAGTATTTGTTTTAGCATTTTGATGCATGTTTGGAATATTTTGAAATTTTCCTCGAACATCGGCCTGCATGGGGATATGCCCGACCTAGCCGCAGCCCTAGTCCAGATCTGGCGGCGCGCCGTCGCCGTGGTCCAGGAAGTGCCTGCGGGCGCTCACGCCGGAGGGGGAGCGTCTGCTGGCCAGCGAGGCGGCGCGGCGCCGGCGTGGGCTTTCGAGGCAGCGTCGGGCGAGTGTCTGCAGGGGGAAGAATACCCAGACCTCCGACGTCGCGAGAAACTCACGACGAAGGTTTTTGACAAGTTTCGGCCTCTGGAGGCCCTCGCCGGGCCTGGGGAGCGTCAAAAAACTACTTGGGATGAAAAACCGGTCCCAGGGAAGATCTCCAGACTTCGGGGGGCCGACGTCGTGAGTTTCTCGCGACGTCGGGGGTCTGGGTAACCCAGACCCCTCAAGTCAGGAACAAATCACGGCGCACGGTGTTTCACTGTTTTCGGTCTCTGGGGGCCCTCGGGGCCGTCAAACGACGACCCAGGGTGCAAAGTTGGTCCCGTGGAGTGGGTCGAGACCTTAGGGGGCCGACGTCATGAAAAGTTCTGACGTCGGGGTCTGAGAGCAGACAGGCTCGCTCTATCTTTAAGTCGGGCGATTTCCTCCTGCAGGCGGATGTTGGAAGACGCGTGGAGAAACGTAAAACAAGTAGGCAACAACGGCCAACATGTGATCATAAAGTTGTTCCCAGATCATGTCTTGGCAATGTTTGAATCTTCCTCCCGTAGAGGGGCATGCCCGACTTAACTCTATCCCTTGCCCAGACCGTCGGCGGACGTGGGGCCGCGAGCGCGGGCCCCCCCGCTCGGGTCGCGGCCGCCCTCTTGGCATCGAGGCCGGGCTCTGCCGCAGGGGGGTCGCCGAGGCCCTCTTGAGCGCCTGCATCGCTGCAGGCTCGGCGTGGAGCCGCGCAGCCGCCCCAGCTCGAGCCCCCACGTCCCTATGCTTGAGTCGGGCATGTCCCTCTAGAGGAGGGATCTTCAAGAAATGCCAAGCAAGAGTCTGGGGGACGATTTGTGGATCACCTTTTCGCTGTATCTGAATTAGATTTGGACTCGTTTCAGTGTGTCCCCCAAGACCCGCATGTAGGAGTACATGCCCGGCTTAACCCTAGGCCCATCGGTCGTTGAAGGTAAGCTCAGAGGGTTTTCAGTTTTCGGTCATTTGCCCCCTTTGCTCTCAGCGGTGAGTGGGACTGGTCCTGATACAACCCCCTCATCGCGGCGGAGATGATTTTCCCTCTACCGTTGGGCGGGCTGGATAATGTTTGGGGGTTCTTTCGCGCCGCCGAAGACATAATTGATTACACCTCATTGCGGGTTCTAAAGACCTTTAGAGGTTAGGTCAGAGTGAGGGGGCCAAACGGTCGTTCACTGTCCCTAGGCGCGTGACTGAAGTGTGGTTCCGCGGTGTGGATTGTTGTTGCGCTGTTGTGGTCGTCCTGGCCCACGACCCGCCCACGACCCACCCCGCGACCCACCCCGCGACTCCTCCCGCGACCAACCCGCGATCCACCCACATGGGTTTAACGAGAATTCGGCGCCTGCGGCGGGCTCATTGTGCAATGTTTTGAAAAATCGGCGCCGGCGGTGGGCTTCTTCAGAGCCTCGCAGACTGGCGACAGTCCCGCCGCCTCCTCACTCTTATCTCAACTGCGGAGTGCTACGTATTTTTTTTTTAGGATTTCCAGACCCCAACCTACTCCAGGTGCTTTCCTGCGTCAAGGTTCGAGCTGTTGTGCCGGCGCCCTCCTGTTCAAGGGGCGGGCGGAGATCCAATCTATTTCCAACGCCTTCCAACGTCATGTTTCTATCCACTTCTTCCGATCGACGGGCATGGCCACCCGGCAAGCTGCCAGTCTCGAAGGTGGCCTCGTGCAGGCGCAAATGCGACCGCGCGTCGCGCATTGCGGGGCGCAATTTTCGAAGTTTGGGTGATTTGGTTTTCCCTGTGGAAGCACGGCGGCGTTTGGCGACGGGGGGCCTGCTGCTTACCCACACCATGTCCTTGCCTCACCCTGGCATCTCAGATTTGCGACGTAAGTGCGTAGATGCCGCAGGGGCCTTGTGAAATCTGAGATCGGCTGGGTACCTACGTGCGCGAGAGCAGGCGTTCAGCGTGCGCCGTTCAGGTCAGGAGGATGATGCCTCTTTCGGCGACCCCTCTGCGTGCAGGCTACGTCGCCCTACTGGTTCGAAGGGTGTCGGGCGTGTGGGAGGGGGGTCGGCACAGATGCTCTACGCTCGTCTCCTTTTGGCCCTTCTTGGCATGGTGAAGTCTCCTTCCCCTCAGACGGGAAGCTGAGCTATTTTTTGCACCGTCTCTCATTTGGCAACCATCAGATGAGAGCGCGAGTAAGGATGAAGTATTGCGTTGCAGTGCGTGTGAGTTTCACTCGGGCACGGGCGTTGCGGCAGAACGAATGCCGGAGTATATCATGGAGTAGTTGGTTAGACCAATAGGGGAGCATAGGTGCGGAGGTCGTGAGTTTTTTGCGAGTCGCGTTGCGGTCTCTGCGCGTACGATATGTGTTTCCTATCGTGATCTACGCTGACCATCTGATCTCCGTCTGGGCGTTCACAGGGGATGCAACGCTCGGCAGATGTAAACGGTTTCGAGCACTGTTTTTCGTCCCTTCCGATATCGCCCGTCCTTGCTTGCCACTCGCCCTCCAGCGCGTAACGGGGAAGCCAGGGCGCCCCGCGCATGCATTGGCTTAATATTGCGCGCGGCAGCTAGTCGCTAGACATGCGGCCCGTCCCCCTGGCAGCCGACGGATTCCAGGTCACAATGCTTCACGGGGCTGGGAGTGGTGCAGTCGTTGCCCTTCCTCAGATGGAGCGGCGCATCCTCAACCAATTCGGCTTGCATCGCGCGGTGTGTTGACAACATGGATTCAGTCTGTTACCCTTGGATGAGAAGGCCGGGGTTGTACGATATACAGTGGGTGCCCATGCCTGCTTACCTCCAGGGTGCCCTGGGTTTCTTGGGTTTCGACGTTTTTTCTATGGGAAGCGTGACGTTCCCACACCAAAAATCAATGGACGTCCTGGAGTCTCAGGGTTGGGTTTCTTGTGGAAGATTTCTTGTGGACTGGCCTCCACTGTACCGGGCTCCGCGTCGTTGCCACATTCAAGGTCCAGAAGTTGAGATTCGAACGAGAATGTGCCAGGAATGACCCCCGCAGGAGCGAGCGACAGCAACCGCTCAGGCAGCTCCTGTTCGCAGACAAGCGCGCTCATGTCGTACAAGTTGCAAAGCGTAATCCAGGAGGTTGCACAGCACTCGATCTCGGCAGCAAACCCTGGGGGCCTTGTATACCCTCGCAATTCCGTCTTTAGCGTCGACTAGCGTCGATAGCGTTTGGGAGTCGAGGAGATAGCGCCGATCTAGCGTCGGTTGGCGTCGATTTGCGTCGATTTAGCGTCGAAAAGCGTCGATTCGCAAGAGCCGACAAGATGGTATATGAGGTTCCCATAAGTTGCCACAGAAGCAGGCGTTTGTCATCAGCATTGTTAGACACATTCCCGTCACCACTGGGAAAGCATTGGTCCCATTTTCCGACCTACCCCTTTGCGGTGGGGATTCATGTTGTCCCTTTCAGATATTTGGGCACTGTCCCAGCAGTTTGGTGGCGCGAAGGAGACCTGGCCCCCTGGGGATGGGATAGGTCTGACGATGTTGGTATTTCGCAGTCTCACTAACCATTCACCAGAGCAACAAGGCTTGCGAGGCCTGGATCGGCGCCCAGTCGCCCTAAGTTGCATGCAAAGGTGTCTTTCGGCTAATTCAGAAGCGCTTGTGCCTTCTTTACGTGTCATCACCCGTGCCCGCTGTTCTTATCCGGAAGGGGGGAGGCGGGGAGGAATGGAGGAAGGAGTAACAGAGTAATGGAGGGCCATTGCGTACGGGAAACAAGTCATCGGCGCACAACGGCCACGCCAACGCCAGCGACGACGGAGTTAAGGAGCGCAGGCGATCCCCTCGGACGTGCGGATTAGGAGGAACCGAGTAACGAGTCGTTGCTTGAGTCTTTCCTTTACAGGGCCGCTGGTAGATTTCTGGATGTGGTCGGTGCTGGTGGTGTTGCTGCTGCTGCTTTTGCTGTTGCTGTCGCTGTTGATGTTGTTGCCGTTGTTGCTGCTGTTGATGCTGTTGTTGTTGGTGGTGGTGGTGTTGGTGTTGGTGTTGGTGTTGGTGTTGATGGTGGTGTTGTCGTTGTTTTTGTTGTTGAATTCTCATTTCTGAAGAAGAATTATTGTTGATCACCACCCACCGGTGCATACTGTTTTTTCTCAATCAAAGTGTGCCCCTCGACGCTCGCACCCTGTTTCTTGGCAGGGAAGGTCTTGATGCTCAAACTAGGCCCTTGGCTCCTGGGTTGCAACAACAACGGCTCCCGCCTGAGACTTCCTTACAATTAGCCAGGACCCCCGCTCCCGCCCGAGACTTCCTCGCATGTTATTCAGGAATCGCGCTCTCGCTTGGGACTTCCTTACAATGTATTCAGGAATCGCTCTCCCGGCGTTCCGGAGTCGCGCTCTCGCTGGAGACTCGCTTGCAACTTACTGGAGATTGGCCTTGCGTTGGAATTTCCTGCAATTTGCCCAAGTGCCGCGCTCCCGACACCCAGGCACCCAGGAGTCGCGCCCGTTGTGGCCCCATGTGCATGCCCTTCGTGGCCCCGCTGTCGCCATTTGTGCCCCCCTCACTGTCCTACGTGGCCCAGTTGCTACCCTCAGTGGCCCCATAGTTGCCTTCTGTGGCCTCGCTTTATCTGCACGTCGTGGCCCCCGCCCGTTCGCGCTCTTCGTGGCCCCATACGCATTCCCTTCGGGGCCTACTTCGTGCCCTTCGTGGCCCTGCTGTCGTTCTCTCTCGCTCTCGCCTTCGCTCATCGTCGCCGTCGTCGTCGTCGTCGCCGTCGTCTTCGACGTCGTCGTCGTCGTCGTCGTCGTCGTCGTCGTCGTCGTCGTGGTCGGTCCCCTGTCCGTCCCTCTTGGGGTCGGGTCGACGGTCCGCGGCCGCCCCGCCGATCAGCGCTGCCGCTGGCCAGGCCGACGGTCCGCGGCCGCCCCGCCGCTTGCCGGGGCCCGGCCTGCAGGGAAGAAAGGTATACCCCCCAAAAGGGGTTCGATCGAAGACGAAGAGGGCGGGTATCGAGGGTTTGGGAAATACGCGTTATTGAACACTCGAGCATATAAAGGCGAACAGTCTTAAAATGATTGTTGCTGTTGTTGTTGTTGTTGTTGTTGTTGTTGTTGTTGTTGTTGTTGTTGTTGTTGTTGTTGTTGTTGTTGTTGTTGTTGTTGAACATTATTACTTCTAAAGAATAATTATTGTTGGGACCCCTGGTGCACGACCCCCCCGCCGCGCCTAGGCCGCAGCCTCATTTTCATCATTTTCGTGAGGAAGTCTCAGGCAAAACGGGGGGTCCGGATCCGGTTGTGTTGTTACGATCGGTTTTCCCTTGCAAAAAATAAGCTAAAGTGGACATTTCTTGTTCTAACATAACCAAACTTCAAGAATCCCTTGCAAAAAATAAGGTAAAGTGGACATTCGCGCGCGCAAGACGAAATCCTTCCAAAACCTTAGTTTTCGTAGCGATTTTAACATAAAAACATAAAAACCAATGGTTTTTTTTTTTGGTTTGTCAAAATTTCATCCCGCGCGCTCTTGCGGATTCGTAGGAAACCCAACACTTTTTAAACATTTCTGTCAAACGGGCTTTTGCGAGCAACTTTTTCGAACTTCTGCAACAACGGTTGCGCACCTGCCAGGGCCATCATCCCTGTCAAATAATACCATGCGGGACACATTCGTTTTTTCTTCGCGCGCGCACGCCGTCGTCGTCGGCCGCGGGGCCCTGAATAGTAGCCACGGTCGTCCGCATGCCACGAAGTGAAGTGTCCGAACGTCATAGGGCGGGAAGCTGGGTGTGGGCGGTGGCGAAGAGTCGTTTGGAAATTTGGTAGAGCTTGAACCGGCCCCCCCACAAAGTGGGGGTATTGCCCGCCTCCTACGAAAACCCTGGCACTGGTGAGAACGGAGTGTCCCCACGTGCTAGTAATTGTTGTTGTTTTTGTTGTTGTTGTTGTTGTAATTGTTTTTCTATTGTTGTTGAGGGCAAGAACGCTGTCTGAAGGCTCCCTGTGTGGGTGGGGGGCAGAGCAACGGGCAAAGAGCATCGGAGGGCCCCTCGTTGCTCGTTACCTTCCTTGGGGCCCGCAGCCTGGGCTTCTACCCCCCCAGTATTGACTGCATGGTTGGATGGGGCCCACGGCTGGTGTTGTTACATTGTTGTGTGGAGGGGACTGATGCCGAGGTGTGCGAGCCATTTGCCGCCGCGGGAGCCCCCTTGCGGACCCCCCGGGCGCGCCGCGCGGCCAGGGCGCAGACCCCGAGCTGAAGGACGCCGGCGGCCAGTCGGCCCTGGACATCGCCGCAGGCCCCACGCCGGTCGGATCCTGGAGAACAGAAGAGCCCATAACCCTCATACCACGATGAGGACTTGGCCTCACATAGGTTCCCGTCTTTGTATTCGGGATCGTCGATTTGGGTGGTCTGGCTTGGTGCATCTCGGCTCCCTATCCCCAGTGTTCTGGGCCCTCCTAATCGAGGCCCCCTCCCAAAGGGTTAGGGGCACTTCTATTTCTCATCATCCAAGGCGGGGGCTTATCCAGAAACACCGCCTGTGGGATCGATCTTCGATCCCCCAGGCGGTGGTAGTGGAGAATCCCTGCCTCGCCCTCGGCCGCTGCGAAGAGGGCCACGCTGTCCTGGGATACAGTCTGTCGCACGCGATGTTTCCCCCCCTGTTCTTGAGCTCCCCCCTGCGAAACATTGGCCGGGGGGGCTGTTCAGACGCGCCCTTTTCAAAGATGGACGCCTTTCCCTCTCTTCGGGAGTTTAGTTGGCCGAGAAAAAAATAGTCCCGCAGAGTCGGGGATAGTGGTCGCCACAACACCCGTTAGAGGTATGCAGTCGGCTGGTGCCGTCGAGGCGTCGCTATCTCGACTCGGCAAGGGAGGACATCGGACGGCGACGGCTAATTTATACAGCGACGCTGGCTCTGACCAGGACCGTCCTGGTTGCAAAATCAGAGTGTATGTCGCCACGCCGTTTGCTCCGACGCGCGGCCTTCCGTCTTGGGGAGAGGGCCTCGGCCACAAGGGCAAACTCCGCCTCGGACGCAGAGTTTGCCGTGGGTTCGCCGTGGTGTCGGCTTCGCTTACTTGGGCGCGCTCAGAACACATGGCGCGGCGACATCTGAATTCCCTGCTAGGCTGGCAAGGCGTAAGTGAACACCTAGGTCACCCCTTGGGTGCGCGAAAATTGTCGCGCGTCACGGTTTCGGCCGTCTCCGGGGTGGCCTCGCGTCGGCAAGAGTAGAACCTCGCGTGGATACCGCCGTAGAGGACCCAGGATCACCGACATTGGGCTCATTGCCAATGCAGATACCTTTGTGGGTGACCCAGTGCATGCACTACGCACCACACAACCCTGACACACCAAACTCCCAAACGTCGGCCCTACGGCCCTACGCCTGATCGCCAAAACCTTCGCCTACAATCCCAAGCCCAACCTTGCCGCACAATCTCCTCCGCGATTCCTGCCCCAGGACACCGCCACCCCAATCTGCTTGCGCGACTGGTAGAAGCAGATCGACTGAGTACCGGCCCAGACCCAGACCCTCCCCCTCCCCCGCCCTTCGGCCACGTGTTGAAACAGAGAATGTAAAAACGCTTGCCCTTTAGGGCCAGTTCTTGCGTGGTGGAGGCCCCGTCCCATCAGTTGGGAAGCTGACGGTTTTCATCATCCGAGCAGACAGCGTCGTTGCCATTCCTCGCCCTTTGTCTCCTCATTTGTAGGCAAGGATACAACAGCAGCCGACCGGGAGGTCGTTAGCCCTGACGCCCCCCCCAAAAAAAAAGCTCTGGGCTGGCAATAGACTCCGCGGGTCCCTGGGTTCTCCCTGTCCTTTTTCATCCTCTTCCTCCTCCTCAGTAGAACAGGGTCAGAGGAGCGCCCCAGGCAGCCCGTAGGTCAGACCCATCGGCTCTGCATCCATACGTTACTGCAGGGATATCGAAGGTTGCTTGCCCAGCTCTGTAGTGCTTAGAATTACGCTTCACCGTCGCCGTCGCCAGCTCTGCCGCTGACGCCAACACTTGCACCTACCTGCTGCAGCACAATCGCGGATCCCATGAGCTGCACGACGAGTACCACGTGCAACACGACGGGGTCCACGAGCAGCGCGGCGGAGAACACGAGCAGCATTGGAATACATCGACGGGCTGGCATCCCCCCAAATAGGGCGACCCGCCGGCGTCCACCCTCGGGGGGCGAGAAAACTCGTGCACAGTTTCGACTCCGGCCGAGTCCAGGGCAGACGCCCTCTCACAATCCATCGGTCACGCGGCTGGGACAGCTACAGGCCTGCCAGCCTAAACTGACAGAGTGGATCCCGTGAGCTGCACGACGAGTGCCACGAGCAGCGCGACGGAGACCACGCCGACGTCGACCGATACGAGCTACAGCACGACGGGCACCACCAGCTGCACGACAGATGCCATCCGCAGCACGACGGGTGCCAGGAGCAGCACGACGGATACCACGAGCTGTATGACGAGTACCACGCGCAGCACGACGGATACCAAGAGCTGCACGTCCACGATCACACGGGACACCAGGAGCAGCACGACGGATGCGCAGCACGACGGGTACCAGGAGCAGCAAGGAGGGCACCATGAGCAGCACGACGGGTGAGTCTCACGGCGAGTTCAACGAGCAGCACGACGGGTACGAGGTGCAGTCCGGCGCGTGCCACGAGCAGCACGACGGACACCAGTAGTTACACGAGCAGCATGGCGGATACCATGAGTTGCGCGACAGATACCATGATACAGCGCGCTCTGCGCCCAAAAACGCGGCATTCCGACCTACAGCGTCCAGTTGTCCACCCCCACCTGTCGATGTTCAACTTCTACCAGATCGACACTGCGCCATCTTGCCACCAGCATCCATCTTCCCAGCTCCACCTCCACCAATCGACCTCCCGCGTCCACAAACTCGGTATAGTGACCCCCAGCAGCTAGCACCCAACTCCAATTACACCTCCACCGAGTGACCTCCAACCTCCACCAGTTCTGCACCCTGACCTCTCACATCCAGCAACCGACATCAACGTGCACACTATCACCCCTACCTGTCGACTTTCAACCTCCACCAGGCCAGCGCCACCACCTGCAACACCCAACATCAAACATTCCACATTCACCTCCACCTATCGACCTCGCACGCCCACCAACGCAGCATTCCGACCTCCAGCATCAAGTCTCTTGGCTTCGCATGGGCGGGTTCCCACGCCCCCCCAGGCTTGCCCAAAGGTGACTGACAGCTCAAATATGGACCACACTCCCCCTCCACTCCGACGACAGCCCCTGCAACAACGCCCCGCTCCGACGACAGCCCCTGCACCAACCTCAACACTGGCGCCTACGCCGGCGCCAACGCCAACGCCCACCCCAGCACCGGCGCCAACGACATCCGACGCTTGCTCTCCATCTCTGGCTTCACCTCCACCCGCCCCATTCCACAATAGGGGCCGTGCGTGCGCACCTCCATGTCAGCTCCGACTCCTGCCCCGACGCCTGCGCC